TTAACAAAACAAACCATGGAGCGCAGAAGTCGTCCACGTCTCAACTCAGAAGGAGAACATTTTGACGTTGAAGATTATTTTTTAAGACCAGAAGTTCAGTGCACTGATTGCCCACAAACTCATATTCAAAGAGCAGAACAAACTTTTCATTGCTTAGTCTGCCACAAAAGCATCAAAGGCTCAAATGACTTAAGGTTTATATTTTTGAGTAAAACTAAAAACTTTGATATCTTATTCATTTATGTTTAGTCTCCTTAGTAATCGCCTTAAAAAACACTATCTCAAGTTCACAACTGCTCGTTTTTACAGAAGTTACTATTATCCTGCTCACACTCTTCACGAGCAGCATCGTCATAATTCCACCACCACCACCACCTTCCAGGATCTTTCAAGAGAAGACCAAACACTTGTCAGAGAAGGTACATTCTGTTTTGATTTTCTATTTTGTTTGTGCTAACTTTTGTAATTTATTAGGAATCATTGCATTTTGCACTTCTGTTCACAACCTCTCATGGAACAGTCAAAAGTGCATGAGCAACATCATGCAGCAAGTAGCAGACTGCAACTACTCCTCCTCTGCTTCTAAAGCTGCAGCTATTTGTAAAGGCCTTTTTGGCCTGGAAGCAGAGCGCAAGCTGAAGTCTGACCTTCAAAAAGTCGATCATGTTGCAATTGCATTCGACTGCTCAACAATTCATCACGTCAAAGTTCTTCCCATCATAGCAACATTTTTCCAACAACAACACGGAATCCAACATCGACTACTGGCTTTGGTCGACTTGAAACAAGGAGGAAATTCTGACAGCATTTCCTGGGCAGTCGAAGAAGTGGCAAGAATTTACCAAATTAACAAAAAGCTCACTGCCATCATTGCCGATAACTGCCCTACAAATTTTGGAAGTAGTGAGCGTCAAGGACCTAACAATGTTTTTCACCACCTGGTTGAAAAGTAAAAGTTCAAGTAAAATTTCAAAATAGTTTCTAATGACTTTGAATTTTCAGATTTGGCAGCAAATTGATTGGCGTCGGGTGCTTAGCGCACATTCTAAACAACGCCCTGAAAAACTCAGTTGAGAAACTAGATTTCGGCGAAGAAAACTTAAACATTTTTCTGGGACTAGTGCATCAGTATTTCCAGCACAAAAACGCTGACCGAATCTCCAGAATTGATCGCATTAGAGCTCAAATTGACCACTCCAACACAAGAAACAAGCTACCTACAAAGTCTTACAGCAAAACAAGGTGGCTCAGCACTGGACCAGCGATCGAAGCAATTATTAGTCAGTGGCACATATTTGAAGTTTACTTTGATGAAGAAGAGTCAGGCAAACACATCGAAAAATTTAAAAAGTTTTTTGAAAGCCCGTTCAGCTTCCCTATGCTTCTCACCATCAGGTTCATTGCTGAAGAATTTGAAGAAGCAATTTGCAGTATCGAAGGCAAAGAAGTCGATTTAATCACTTCAATCAAAATATTTTTTGACCTGCAACAGAAAATGCTCTTTTATCGAGATGAAGTTGAAAAACCTTCAATTGTCGCTGACATCATCGAAAGATGGGCAGAAAATGACCAGCTGACTTTTGAGCTTCAATTACGAGAGCTGTACGATGATATACAATCGTATATGACCAAATGGTCAACATGGACCAACTCACTAAAACTGCATCTTTGGGCAACACTCGAAGCAGAACTGAACGAGAGTGCAGTCATCAGGTCAATGGAAGTCATCAGTGAAAGCTGTCAAATAAATTCTGATGAACTGAAAGAAAACATAAGAAGTGCCAACACGTTCATCAACAACAGTCTCGAGTCATGGGCACATCTCTCAACTTCTAAGCGCTGGTCCAGCTTGCTTACCAGCAATCTTGAATTGAATGCCCTTGAAAAAGTGGCCAATTTTATCCTGACACTACCAGGTAACAGCAATTTTGTAAAAGTTTTTCAATCATTTAATTACTGCTATTTTTAGGCACTAATGCCACTGTAGAGAGACTGTTCTCGGAAATCCGGAACTACTGGACAGATTCAAAAGACTCGATGCCCCTCGCCACAGTCAACACCATCATGAAAATTCGCTATAATTACGAGCGAGACTGTGAAAAAGTCCTGGAAATGCTTATCACGGACACTAAGCTGCGCCGAAAAATCAGTGAAAACTCCAAGTACGAAAAGGCAAAACTCAAAGAAGCTCATAGCCTTGTCAACATTATGCAGCGCTATGGGCAAGAAGAACGAGTGTGCTGGGAGGAGTTTTTGTGGCAAAACTGGAGCAGCGATGATTCAAGCCACAACAGCGATGCCAGCTATGAAATTCCCAGCGATGATGACGACGACGACTACGACGAAGAAATTGGTCTAAGCGAGCTGGACAGACTAAATGAAAACAACTTTGGACCAGAGTTCGTCGAAATGGAGATTGAAGGCCAGGAACCGGACCGACCACTGCCGACAACGCTCGACTGCATGGAATACGAGCACAACTACGAAGGACCGCTAGACGTCGAATCACCTTGGCATCGGTGAAGGATGGCCATTTTGGACAACTAACTATTTATCTTTTTCATTTTGTAATTTAATTAATAAACTACCCCTATTTGTTTGCCGGTTGGGGCCCGGCTCATTGATAAAATAAGTAATCAGTAAGTGAGACAGGTTGAAACCTATACTCACAAGTCAGTAAAACCGACAAGTCGGCCAGAAATATAATAGCCTAACAAACAAACTCACTCACACACTCAAAACAAAAAGGAAAAATGACTTACATTAAGCGCTTGAATCTCCGATCTGCGCATTACTGCAGTGGAGAGAGCGCTCTTAGATGAGCTCCCACGATGCTCCTCCAATTTGAGGAGTGATGATGATGATGATGAGGAAGATGAGGAGAAAATTGAAGAGGTGGTCGGTTGGTCAGTGGCAGTAGTCAGGACAGCTGCAGAGTTGGTGGCAAAGACGTAGGCGCCGCCGGCCACCGTCTTCTTGCAGGCCTTGCAGGACCAGATGCCGACGCAGGTGCGCTTCATCGACTCCTTGCCGTAGAAGGTGCAAGTGTACTTCTGGTGCTGGGTGATCTCCATCTTCTTGACCATCTTTCGGAGCGAGGCGCCGTACCGGGTGCCGTACTTGCCCACCACTCCGACCTTCTTCGTGCGCTTGGCCATTGCTTCTCGAGGTGTTGGAACGAAATTCGGGCGTGAAACCGATGCAGGAGGAGTTTAAAAACGAAAGGCGACGAAATTTGGTAAGGCATGTTGGCGACGCAGACGTCGAAAAAGGGCAGCTCTCTCTCGAGGACATCGCCTTGAAAAATGGTCAGCTTTGCCTGAAATGGCGTTGACTGAACTCGCTTCTGCAACTCGGCCACCATCCGAGGGTCGACTTCACATGCCACCACTTTCTTGACCTTTTCCAGCAACTTCACAGTCATGTTACCAGTACCTGGACCGATTTCCAGTGCCACATCACTCGGCTTTAGAGCAGCCTGCAAAAAAAGTGATCAGTTTAGAAAAGAACATATCTTTTTTGTTTCACAAAGTCTTACCTTTTCAATCATAGAAGTCACAACAAGGGGATTCTTGAGAATGTGCTGACCAAAGGTCTTGTTGAACTGAATACCCTGTTTCTGAATTTCATTATGCTGTCTTGAACTCTTTGCCGATTTCACTTTTGGCATTTTCTACTTCCAGAAACGCAGTTCACAGTTTAAAGATCAACAAGAAAGAGAAACTTTGACAATCAAAACAAGCACACAAAACACGCGCATGAGAATATTTCTGTTCATAATTTTTCACAGTGCGAGAAGTATTTCAGAAATTTCTGCCGCAGCAGGTCTTTACTAAACACGCCGCAGTTAGGAGGTCAGTAGTCTGAGATGCATATT